CCAATGTGTCTCTATGGGTCCCAATGTGTCTCTATGGGTCCCAACGTATCTCTATGGGTCCCAACATGTCCCTATGGTCCCACTGCTCACTGGAACAGGCTGCCCATGGAGGTGGTGGAGTCTCCTGCTCTGCAGATGTTCAAGACCTGCCTGGATGCCGAGCTGTGCGCCCTGCTGTAGGAACGGCTTTGGCAGGGGGTTGGACTCGATGATCCCTGCAGCTCCCTTCCAACCCCTACAATTCTGTGATGCTGTGATTCTGTGAATGGCCCCAAACCGCCCCACTGCTGCCATGGGGGGCAGCTCCAACCCTCGGAGCGTTGGGGACTCACCACCATGTGGTTGATGGAGACCCAGCAGTCCTCGGGGAAATCCTGCAGCATGGGCACCAGGAACTGCAGGCAGCCGTCCCAGTGGCACAGCAGCAGCATCATGCCGATGAGGTTGAAGATCCTCACCACGGCGCTGGCCAGGTCGTACGTCATGTGGAAGATCTGGGAAAGGGGAGGGAGAGGAGCTGCAGAGAAAACACATCCGTCCCCCTCTATGCCCCCACGGCCGGGGGATCCCCGACCGACAGCAGGACCCCCAGAAAGGGGTCTGAGACCCCCGGGGGGGAGGGGGGGAGGGGGGTCCCACCTCCTCCCATTGATGGATGTAGCGGATGAGACGGGAGAGGCGCAGCAGGCGCAGCAGGCTGAGGATTTTGGTGAAGCGGACGATGCGCAGAGCGCGGGCTGTTTTGTAGACGTCAGAGTCCACCTGCGTCTCCAGATCGACGATGAGGAAAATGTAATCGACCGGGATGGAGGAGATGAAGTCGACCAAGAACCAACTCTTCAGGTATTTCATTTTGATGGTGTGGGGATCCAGGATGATCTCCGTGTTGTCCTCCACCACGATGCCCGTTCTGAAGTTCAGGACGAGGTCGGCCAAGAAGAAAGTGTCCGAAAGGACGTTGAAAACGATCCAGGGAGGGGTGTTTTCGTCCTTGAAGAAGGTGATGCCCACGGGGAGGATGATCAGATTGCCCACCATCAGCAGCAGCATGATGAGGTCCCAGTAAAACCTGCGGAATGAGGTGAGAGAACAAATCCGGGATCAAAGTTGGAGCCCAAACCCATCACAAAAATGAGAGCTCGGGGCTTAGAGGGGTTTAGAGAGAGCTCAGCTGGTGGTGCAACGAGGGCAGGAGCTGTGGGGTGGCACAGGGACTCGGATGGGGGGGGGGGGGGGGGGTCTGCATGGACCCCACGCAGCCTTCGGTCCGAGCCCGATTCGTGCTGATGTTCTGCATCCCCATCCACGGCTGAACGCACCTCGGGATCCCAAAAGGAA